TCCCCCGGCCCTTCCTGGTCCAGCCCAGTCAAGGACTCACTCACCAGTCAGGGCCTGCAGGCGGGTCAGGCAAAGGCGGTTGGTGAGCACCAGCAGCTCCGTGGCGTCCAGGTCCGGGGTGGGGACAAAGTGGCCCGTGTAGAGGAACTCCAGCACGGCTCGCAGGCAGGCACTGTTGGTGCCCGGAAGGGACACCTGGAGGAACAGGGAACCTCCAGTCGCCCCCAGTCTGGGATGCAGGCGGCAGCGGCGGCCCCCGCCCGGCTTGGCTGCGACCACGACCCCTCGCTCTTGGTCTGTCCAACCTTTGTCCTGAACTCCTGCAGGGGCCACAACTCCAGGGCCGTGGCTTCCCTGCACGCCCAGACACACCCGCGAGCGTCCTCCGGAAGCCCTTTGTCCGGAGCTCCCAAGGACAGCAGAGCCCCGGAGGCTCCGAGACACCCTCCTTCCTAGGCTTCACAACAGCCCTAGGAGGTGGGACTCCCCATCAGAAGGTGATGCAAGAAGATGATTTACTATCCAAAGCTCACTGTTTGGTTTCTGTTTTCTGTACTTTTGTTTCATATTCGTAATGGTTCCTGTATTTACAGTATGTATTATTTCCATAACCCTGCACCCGTTTCCTGATTTTTTTTTTCCTTACCAAGGCTGTGATCTCCAAGACTTATTGCCCCCACCTCAGAACCAAGGACTGGAAAAAGGAGCTTCCAACCACAGGCAGCAGAAGAAGCAGCAGCTGGGAAAGCCCCCGCCGGGCCTTGGCTGCTGTGGCTGCCCCCCCTCCACCTGGTGATCCCCATGACCCATTATTTTTGAGAGGCCCAATTTATCCCGGGTGCTGGGAGGCCACGGCAGCTGGCCCTCCTCCCCTTTGGAAAGGCCGCCAGCGACTGGCCTGGCCCTGGCCGGGGGAGCACATTCCCGGGATCAGCTGGTCTCTGTGGCGCCAAAGAGTTTGGGCTGCGGGAGAGGGGAGGGGGTGGCCGTGGAGGAAAAAGGGGGGAGGGGGAGAATCCAGAGCCACCCTCAGGGACATTCCCCCCCACCAAAGTGGGGGGGGGGGGGGGAATGCAATCTGATCCCCCTCTTGACCTGTTCCTGCAAGCGATGCCTTTGACCTGCCAGTCTAAGGGCTCAGCTGCCAAGCCCTGGGTGCCCAGACAGAAGCAGGTCCGCCCTCCAGGAAGGAGGTCCAACCCCAGAGGGCTCCCCAAAGCAAGGCCTGCCGCCCCGGCTGTTTCCGCGGGCTCCCCCCCCCCGTTGCCGTGCCCTGCCTGCCAGCAAAGCCTTGGAAGGCGAAACTCCTGGGGCACAGTGTCCCGCTACTGCGAGCAAAAGCACCCCGCCCCCACCCCACCGTGGTGCCTAGACTGGCCTGCGGCCCCCCCTCACTCCCCAGGCCTGGACAAATATGAGGGGATGTGGCCGCAGAAGCCAGCCGAGCCTCTGTGGCCGCTTTGACCGGCTTTTCCAGGGCGAAGCCCTTTCGAGAGGACCTCCCCCCCCCAACCCATTCCACACAGATCTCCAGTTTGGCAGACCAAGATCCCCTGAAGGAAGAGGACGCATCTCCCTTGCTGCCCAGAGAGACGAGCCATCTGGGGGTGGGTGGGGGGTCTGAGAAGGGGTCTGGAAATTGCAGCTCAGCCCCTCTATGGCGGTTTGCTGGCCAGGCCAATCCCACCAGAAAGTTTGGGGGCCATGTGGTCCCCAACACTAAGCCTCCACACACCCAAAGCGCCGCTTCTCCCCTGCCAGCAGATTGTGGCCACGCTCCGGCTTCCCTCACCTCCGTGGCGCAGCTCTCCCGGAAGGTGCCGCCAAACAGCGCCACCATGAAGTCACAACCCGCAAGGAGCAGCGGCTTGTGGGCTGGCACGGATCCGTCATCGACCAGAAACACCACATCTGCCGGAGAATGCGGACGAAGCGCTCAGCCAGAGGACCTCGGAAGAACCCCGGAGGGGCACCGGGCCCGCACCCTCTTCCCAAAGCCCGCGCCCGGGGCCCCGCAGCCCGCCAGGTGCCTGCCTATCACCCGGAGGCCCTGCCTGCCCCCCTGACCCCCCCAACCTACCAGCAAAAGTGCCTTTGTTCAAACACTCCTTGATCCGGTTGGCTCGGCGGACGTGGAAGGCCTTGGTGATCTCGCGGTTCATGAAGCTCTCCTTGTTGAGCATGTTGGCCACCATCATGCGCAAGTCAAAGACCTCCAGCAGCTCTGCCATGGCCGCCACCTGCATGAGGTCGGCTCGGTGCGGCTCCAGATGGCCCGTGTACAGGTACTCCAGGACGGCCCGGAAAGGCCCCACTGGCACCAGCCCGTCCATGTAGACCGCCGTCATGGGCTTCTCCTGCTGGGTCACGGGGTCGCGCACCGCCTCCCGGCCCATGCGGACGAAGCCTCGACCCCAGCCGGAGAGTTCCCGGGGTGGCAGGGCCAAGCGCAGTGGGTCGTCGCTCTGGGACGCCCGGAGGGAGGAGGAGGCGGCGGCAGTGGCGGCCCCCGCCAGAGAGCCCTTGTCGGCATCGAGACTTTTTGTCCTGCTGGCCGGCTCCTTGAGGGCCTCCCCCGCCTCCCCGGCCCAGTCCACGC